CAAAATGTCTTGGGGTACAGTAAAAGCGGTTTCCCGATGATTACCCCAAAGTTACACCAAAGTATCGGCTAATCATACAGCTACATCAACAACCTGTACAAGTTACGTGCGTGTTCATATGCAAGAAATTAATTTATGCACGTGAGGTGTACCTATATAAGCAACGGCCAACACACCCCAGCTCCTGAAAATACAATGGCCTTATCGAACTCGCGGTGGCCGCTCACCAACTGCCATTGTGATGTTTGTTCGCGACAAAGCGTTGCATTATCACCGTCGCGTCGCTCCATCCCATTCTTTTTTTCATTTTAATTTCCAATAAATTCTTTTTCCCACCGCTGCGTGCTGAGATCGAGTGTTGTCTCGTTTATTACGAAACGCTATCATGTTGCCCGTTTCGCCGATGCGTAAGTTTTTCGTACTCCGATCGCTGGTATGACATAATTATACGAACGCGCCAGGCTTAGCGATCCGTCCCGGATGACGAGATCATCATAAAAAGATTTCAAAGCCAAGTATAAAAATATACATGAAAAAGTAGTGGAAGGTGTATAATATAAACACATCGAGGCCTTTTTTACGAATGTGTTTTTTTTTTTAAGTATATGCGATGACACACGTCAAACTCGCAGTTCTTTTAGCAAGTCTACGAGTGTGTGTGTCTATCATAAGCAGCGGGCAGTGATTATCTCCTGGGAGGAAAAAAAACGAAAGCCAGATAGTACTGCAGTTTAGTGCATATTATGTAGTCCGAAGGCCGGATGTTTTGATATTTCTCGCAAAGTGTAGGTATAAGTATACCATACACTCGTAATAACAACATCGATCGAGAGTTTCGCACTTTTTGCGTATCACGTGCTGTGATTGAGGGACCCTTTTTTTTTTGTCACTCTTTCTAAGTACTATCAATTCCCGGCGCGTAGAGGAACAATCAAGATAATTCACCGAGTGTTGCCTTGTGTCTTCACATGTGTACCATCGATGCTCGAGTTTTTTATAAAATTTGCCCCGGTGAGATAAAGTTATCGCGTGACCTTCGGATAAGTTTTTGTTTCAGGGTTGATTATACGTTTTTCCAACTATATATGATATGTGGATTGTTAAAAGTATTCTAAGATTATTGGAGGTTTCTTTCTTTTTTTATTTATTTATTTTTTTTCTGTCTGTCGAGAAGGACTTTTCTTCGCTTCTAATGAGAAACTAAAAAAGGGAGACCGGATTCGGGATTTCCACCAGGAGTTGACTTTTTTCCAAAACTATGGAATCTGGTCACGGGAGAAAGCTAAGACGCTTCTCTTCGTGATTACTTTTTTTTTTATTTTTTTAACATATACTCTTCCACGCGGGCTGTAGAAATTTAATAATCGTGGCCATTGAAATGGATCAGTTAAAAAAACTGTTGTTTTTTTTCGTTATCGCGATCATACCTGGGAAAGTTAGTAACGCGATGAACATCTTGTGTATATGTAATTATAAGAAATACATTTTTTTTCCTCCACAAGAGAGCACCCGTACCACCGACTCGCGCGCGCAATTTATTTTCCATGACTTTCGGCTGTAGCGGTGTTAGTTACTAACTATATATAAACAAGCGCGTGCACGCTCGAGATGCTCCGCAGCCTGTCCTACATAAAACACTGTGGAGTTTACCATGTATTTTTTTCTCCTACGTGATTTTTAAGCCAATGATTGCACCGAAAACCAAAGTCACGTCTCTTCACGTATTTCTTGAAACGACACGATGATGAGGCCAATGATAAAAATTCCCTCGGTTTTATTCGAATAGCCCATTTTTTGTATCTATAGCTAAGAGATTCGAGACAGGAATTACGTCCCATTGATGGCAATCACGCAACGAGGAGCAAACTCGTTGCTCTTATAGCGCCCAACACTCACAAGCGAGTCCATTAGGCTTATCGTATAACGATTAATCGGAAAACATATCATATACTTGTGTGGTAAAGCGCGTGTATCACAGCTGTAATTTAATTAGCTAATTTTTCCAACGAAAGCATTTATCTCGTTTTTCAAAGATGAATCGGCAATCAGGTGTAATCAATCAACACGCGATTGTTCCTACATTATAAATATATATAGTTGTAGGTGTGGCGGTGCGCTTTTACGGGGGAGAAAATAAAAAATAGTACAGCGAGTGTCGAAAATTAGAGGGGAAAAAAGAGATGAAAAGCACCGGTTGCGATTTGTCAGCCTAACTAGGGTGTAAAACGCGGATTCACACCGATCGGGCACACAGTGAGGTGTGCAAAGTGACGCTTCCGAACGAGAGATAGGTATACGCGTGCCAGTATAGGCCGGACAACATCGCGTGATTCGCGGCAATTTACACCGCACCCGCGGCGCTGGTCATCGGTGCTTCCCGATAACTTTTCCCTAAAAATGAAAAAAAAATTTCTTTCCTTCTTCACCTCGTCCTCGCCCCCGTGAGAGTATATACGCAACGTCAAACTGTGTGTTTTTCGGTTGAATCGACGCGCTTTTTGACAAAACGTGAGTATACGTATACGTACATCGATCGAAATGGTACACCATATGTAATAAACACGCCCCCAAGACTCGAAGCTTATTCGGGCGACCACCGTATACATACACACGTAATAGAAACGCTAACTAGCCGATCCGATACCATCGGTGATTATATTACTCGCGGCGCGGGCATTTTTTCGGCTGTTACACCCGGAAAATCCATAACGTACACGGCAGACCCGTCCAATCTCTCCCCCCCCCCCGCGGCCTTTTCATTTTTCCTTCGATCGGTCGCTTGTTTACCCATTTTTCTCGAGTAATAGATACATCGTCCTTTCACGGCTCAAGAGTATATAGGCGCGAGGCGGTGCGTTAAACTGGTTTTTCGTATATAATAGGATTATAAAGCAGGTGTACAAGGTAATTCGAAAGACAACGTCGCGGAGGTATAACATTTTGATTCGGAGATCATTACCATGTTTGCGCTCGACAAAAATAGGTGATAAAAAACATGTCGGGCGATGCGAGAGGAGAAGAATCAGCTGGAAATAGAAAAGACCCGATACCGGTCTTTACGATGCTTTTTGGCGATAAAACCAGCTTTTTATACCTTCGGGTACCACAAACGCCGGCTCGGTGTATATTTTAGTGGAGGAGCGAGAGTTTCCCCCCTTGTACAAAAGCCACGTAAGCGAAATAGCAAACACTCGCGCGCTACGGCATGTTTATAGATGGTATATATATATATATATATATTTGTGCGCTTACGCGTGTAGGTGTATAGAATAGATCGAGGAATTTAACGAAAAAGCTTTTATCTTGTCGCTGTCCGACGCGCGGTTGTTTGAGGAAGAGTTTTTTGTTTTTTTTTCTGTCTTTTACGGCACAATGCGTGTGTGTACGACAAAACCTGCCCGTCATCGGCAAATAAGATTAACAATGCCCTGTATGTATACGGTGTACGCGTGCGGCGATGACATTTGACAGTCTAGTAGTCCAAGGTGATTATAATAAATATGATATATATATATATGGTATATAAATTTACGATGAATTATTGAGCCAAGGAATGTATGGACGTGGAAGCCAAGTCGCCGTGAAAAATTAAGCCATACGCGTACGACTTTTTACTCGAGAAAGAAATGTACCTACATAGCGGGTGATCGATGAGTACAATATTCAACATTTTCAAGTTTTTGCTCTACCTTTGAAACTCCTTTTTTTTACAATGTCATTTGAATTGCTAAATAATGAATCTTGGTAAATGAGCTTTATTGATCTATTTTGCTGGATGCACCGAGTAAATCATTTTAAAGGAAAAACCAGATAAAAGGAAGGTCGTGATGTTTTCCGTGCAATATTTATGTCTATTCCATTCAACGAAATTCAAAATAGGACGATCGGATTGTTCTATTGCGCGCATAAAAGAGGCCCATCTAGCAAAGTTCCGAGCCAATGACACGCTTGATCAAAATTGGTTATACGTCCCCGCAAGTGTTACGTGAGTGAAAAATTATACTTACACGGACACGCATTATTAATCATCAACGCGTTCTTTTCATCCGAAGATTATAGGAGTACAAGTCGTAGGTAATAGTACTTTTAGTCCCATCCAAGTACTGTTTATGTGTATGTAGGCGGATATTGTGTATACCAAACATAATGTGCTGGAGCATGTGGAGTACCTCCGAAGTACGTATATATACATACAGCGGGAGAGGCGACGACGAAAATGAAGAAAACGCACGAGAAAATCGATGCTGCACACAAACGCGCACACGCTCGCGCTTGTGTGTATATATATATATGACACGTACACACACAATACATAATATGAGCTGTCGCGTCGGAGGGAAAGAAACAAAAAAAAAAAAAAAAAAGTTGCACACGCGACTCGTTTTTCTTTTTTTTTGCGCTCAAACGAGCAGCAGTTTTCAACCTCACGTAATAATCGTCGCCGACGTCGTGCATATGTGTACGTAATAATAATACTCATATCGACACACGCGGGCGATACGCGGTTAATTATTGACATGCGCTATCTAATCTTGTGAGCGGGTTTGACAACTCAGCGGCTCGCATAATCAGCACACGTGGTGAATAAAAAAAAAAAAAAAAAAAAAAAGGATCTCCCCCCCCCTGATGCATTAGCCAAATCGGATAAGGAGGACTGCGACAAGCACAATCGCAGCACGGAGGGAGGGAGGGAAAATAGCCGCAAATTAACGAAAATCAAAACAAGCGCGCGCTTGCGTGTCAAAAAGCGACCGATTTACGATCGTATATGGCGAACCTACATATATATGTATGTGTGTGTGTACCACAATACGAACTGTGCTTGGATCGATTTCTCGCGTGCNTTCAGTAAAAGACTCGAAAACTTTCAATGACTATACAGTAAAGTAAAAAAATCATCACTCTCATAATATATCTTATCAACTTGACCTGAAATTTAAAAAATTTGCATACAACACGAGACTGCGATTATACAATAAAAGCATACACGCATCAAACAGCTCGTCCTATGTTGTCTCTCAGGGTGATCTAGCCAAGAAGAAGATCTACCCGACGCTGTGGTGGCTGTTTCGGGACAACCTGCTGCCTCAGTCGACGATGTTCTTCGGGTATGCGCGCAGTAAGCTGACGATCGAGCTGCTCAGGGCCAAGTGCGAGCCGTACATGAAGGTCAAGCCGGGCGAGGAGGAGCGCCACGAGGAGTTCTGGCGGCTTAACCACTACGCCGCGGGCTCGTATGAAAGCGACGAGGACTTTGCCGAGCTCGATCGGCAGCTCGTGCGCCTCGAGGCCAACGCGCCCCGGGTGAACCGGCTCTTCTACCTCGCGCTCCCGCCCTCTGTTTTCGAGCCCGTCACCGTACACCTCCAACGCACCTGCATGGCCCAAAAGTGCGTATATTTAATGCACATTATAACATTTACCCAACACCTATACGTGATGATCGTCACTCTCTCGGTTGTACTGATTGTAGCGGCTGGACGAGGATCATCATCGAGAAGCCCTTCGGGCGGGACGCGGCGAGCTCGCAGAAGCTCTCGGACCACCTGGCAGGGCTCTTCCGGGAGGAGCAGATATACCGCATCGACCACTACCTCGGCAAGGAGATGGTCCAAAATTTGATGACGCTGCGTTTTGGCAACAGAATCTTCAGTCCGACCTGGAACCGGGACAACATAGCTTCGGTTCAGATAAGCTTCAAGGAGGACTTTGGCACCCAGGGTCGGGGCGGGTACTTCGACGAGTTCGGCATTATCCGTGACGTCATGCAAAACCACCTGCTCCAGATACTGTCGCTCGTTGCCATGGAGAAGCCAGCCTCCTGTCATCCGGACGACATCAGAAACGAGAAGGTCAAAGTGTTGAAGTGCATCAGGCCCCTGCAGCTGGATGATGTTGTGCTCGGCCAGTACGTCGGCGATCCGGAGGCCAGTGATCCCGAGGCGAGGCTAGGCTACCTCGACGACGCCACCGTGCCCGCCGGATCCAACACACCGACCTTCGCCATGGCCGTTCTCAAGATCAACAACGAGCGCTGGGACGGTGTGCCTTTTCTCCTCAGATGCGGCAAAGGTCGGCTGAGTTGCACCTTTACTTAGCTCGTCTGCAGCTATACGCTGTGATGATGTATCTCGAGCAATCAGTTGTCGTTGTTGGTTTTGTGCGCAGCGCTGAACGAGCGGAAGGCCGAGGTCAGGATACAATACCAAGACGTGTCGGGTGACATCTTCGACGGCAAGGGCAAGCGGAACGAGCTGGTCATAAGGGTGCAGCCAGGTGAAGCTCTCTACATCAAAATGATGACCAAGTCGCCTGGCATTACCTTCGACATGGAGGAAACGGAGCTCGACTTGACCTACTGCAGTAGATACAAGGTGCATTAAAAGTAGAGAGCTCCACGCGACGCAGTAATCCGTGGGTGTTTTGTTTTTTTACTATTGCTTCTTGTCTTTCTTGCAGGGTCTCAAGTTGCCCGATGCTTACGAAAGACTGATTTTGGACGTTTTCTGTGGCTCTCAGATGCACTTTGTTCGCAGCGACGAGCTCAGCGAGGCTTGGCGAATTTTCACGCCTCTGCTTCATCAGATTGAAACGGAAGACATACGTCCGACTCCTTACAAGTATACAATCTCTTACTATTGCTATAGAGTAGAAGATTAAATATTTCATTTTCGTCATTGCAATTTAACACCGTGTGTTTATCCTTAGATACGGCTCGCGGGGACCAAAAGAAGCCAACGAGATGGCGAAGAGAAACAATTTCGTATTTTATGGAACTTACACCTGGGTTCGACCGCAACATTAGACAGCGTACTTAATTTTCGTGATTCTACGAACCATGTAATTTACGAAATGAATTGATCTGTGATCATTTGAAAAAACTTTTTTGCATTTCCATCGACTAAAAAAAAAAAAACCACTTTGTGACTTACATCCAAGTTGAATGTTGGCACATTTATATTTTTGTAGAAATTGCTGTAAAGTTTATTATATTTGTATCGAATCGACAAAACCACTGCGAAATCGATAAAAAAAAGTATATTTATATGTNTCAAACAGCTCGTCCTATGTTGTCTCTCAGGGTGATCTAGCCAAGAAGAAGATCTACCCGACGCTGTGGTGGCTGTTTCGGGACAACCTGTAATTTTTTAACTTTTTTTCATTCTGCGACGTAAGGTTAAAAGTGCTGCTTGATAAATTTTTCCAGAACAAATCATTAAGGATGGGATAAATGAAAACGATTTTCCAATAACATCGTGAGGTATTTAAAATGAAAAATCGAAAAAATATTTAAAATGTATAAAATTCAGTGCTTTGTACCTTGAAACGTGTGCAAGTTATGATAAGTAATAAAGCGAGAGTGTGGGACACATGATATACATAATTATCATGACGATAATAATATAAAGTCGGTCTTCTCAAAGGCTCCAGGCCATATCACAGGTGGTATTGTCTTCGTTACTCTTCGGTAATGAGCTGTGACTAAATACTTTAGACATGCGTACCGATAGGTAACACACAACTATGCCTTCGTCGCACTTTTATCTAACAGTTTAACAATATACGAACCTACTGTACCCTCGTACCTATGTTGGTAAATAATAAGTGTATTATTTATAAAAGTAAATGATAGGACTCGAACGGACATATATATTTTGAATTTTCGTGGTACAGTATGTACTATATTATTGTAGTTACCGCCAAAAGAGCGCGAAGCACAGGTCCCGGTCTGTTGGCCCGATGTGTAATATACATAATACACGTAGGTATATGACATACCTATGTTGTGCATACTAATATATATATAATGATGGCTCCAGCAGGTGATGAGTGTTCTAAAAATCTCTGCTTCGTAATATTATCACCCTCCCATCGCTTTTTTATTCACTGCTACATAAGTATAACAATCCTCAACTCGTCGACTCTGCTTTTTATATACGAGGCAACGAGATACACACGTATGACGCCGAAAATTAATAGTAATTGATGCTAAAAGTATTTCAATGACGGTGTGAAAATCCATTTATGGCACGCGATCGTTTATTTTCGTTCGCTAACACGCAGTAAGTAAGTATATATTTACGATAAAAGTGCAAGAGCTCCAAAACATCGACGAGAAAAAAAAAAAAAAAAAAAAAAAAAAAAAAACACGTGCGACGCATATAAGCGCTCCAAAATATTGGGAACAGCGCATGCATGTATATATATTTTAGTTGTTCGTCGCTTCCAAGCGCACGATGTAGGTAAGTACCTGTAAAAAAAAAAGAAAAAAAAAAAAACTCGTCTGTCCAAAATACATGTAGTACTTAATTATTTAGCGATCATCATGATGAGTGATGTAGTCCACCTTTGTCTCGCACCATACAACAGTAAAAATACCAACGTAAACTTATTGCTTGAACAATTCTCACTTTAAACTATACGTAAGTTACACGTGCTATGGAGCACACACACGCGGGCGCGCGCGCGCACACACACACCTTTTACTTCCTGATGACTGGTGGATTCCGGCGTGGCTGTCTCGCGTCTCTTCTGAAGCGCCAAGGCAGTTCATCAAAGCGAGTCGAGCAGCGCGAACGCAAACTACTCAAGTATACACGTAAACCGTACTTATTTTATTGAGTCGTGACGGAGCAGTTTTTCCCGTCAGTTGCTCAATATTGTCTCTTTTCGAACGGTGCGACAACCATTCGGTTCTCACTTGTCGTTTACATTAAAACATTAGCCATTGGCCATCAAGATGAACGGCTACCCCAACGGACGCGCGAAACACCACCCGGTGGTGCCAAGTGAGTAGATGGTCTCTCTTTGCACGTATACATAATACATATTATGTGTATACATTTAATTTCAAAAACCAACTTTTTTCGACTTTTTAGTTTTCTTTTTACTATTATCAATGGGGGGCGGGGGGGGGGCAATAAGTCATATTTACTTAATTTACAGTTACGCATTGAAAGCGTGTACTCACGTGTGGAAATCGTTTGAAAGTACACCTTCAGTACTGTACTTTTTAACGAAGGGTTATTGGGGTATCTTTAAAACCAGTCGTGAAAATCTCCTGGAACTCGACTCATTACAATGACACGCGTTATAAAAACAGCCGCGCGCGCCTTTACGCTCGCCAAGGCTATTGTTGTTACAACAATGAAAGTGCTCGTAAGGAAAAAAAAAAAAAAAAAAAAAAAACATATTTTGTACTCAATGACAGCAAGAGGGGATGAGGGGCTTGCGAAAAAAAATTAGGAACTTCTCAAAGTGTGGATTCGAGGGAAACAATTTTCACTTGAAAAGCATATCGTCCAACTTGTTTTTTTATTTCCACAACCAACCTTGTGTTCATACGTGTATGAATAATACAGCAATTGTCGAGTGAAACTAATTCAATAAAATTGAGCGCACCAGTACCGATACCTAATAAATACACTATTGAACATAGGAAGGCAAACGCTCACGCGATATGAATTTTTGCGCGCACTTATCGCACCTCTCCGTATACATTGTATGTATGTATATATATATATATCGCCTGTCACGTGTTCGGCGTGATTACTGCCGATGCCGAACGATTAGAATACACTTGATGTTGATTTTCCGATTCGCTACTTGCGCCTGACTCGGCGAAAGATTAAGTAATCGCGTGAACTTGAATTTTCTCGATGTCAAGTTCTCGGCGCCGCGCGAACATGTTAACGTGCAGAATCGCACGACGAAAGAAAGTTTTCGTCAAACGCGATCTACGTAAATTGACGATTTTCCAAAAATCAATGAAAAAACGCACGATGTGTTTGAAAAATTGCCAACAGGAGCCTCGACTGAGGAGAGCCTGGTGTACATCAGGCAGTCCTTGAAGTCCGAGGAAATGGATCACATGGAGGGCACCCACTTTGACAGTCAGTTTCCCCACATCTTCGTCACTCTCGGAGCATCGGTATGTATAATTTATATATACATACATATATATATATACATATATATATATATATATATACAAACTAAGTATACATATATACTCTATACAAGGATCGGGTGATTGTGCAGGAAAATCGAGTTTTGAACGTCAGAAGTGTTAAGTATAGAGTTGACCGATCCCTTTTTTTATCTGGCTTCTCTGCTCCTTAGTCTCTCAGCTGTTGCTTCTGCTACTACTTTACGTACGCTATATAAATGTATGTACATCCACGCCTCTTCGCGTGATTGTGTACTTTTATTTACTAATTTATACTTTATTTAATCAGTTTTGCGGATATATATTATATTGTGATTCAATCAAAATCGAGAATCGTCAACATACGTAATATATGTGTATACACACAGTCAGCCACTCTCTCGAGTTATCGCCGTCACTGCTCTCTACTCTGTGTGCATATAAGTATAAGAATACATAACATCATTTATCGATCCTTAAGAAAAAAAAGTAATGTAAGAGTTTTTATTTCACTTCGTAAACGAGTTGGTTTCTGTGGTATGTGAGCAGCATCCGACGAAAAATTAAAACATTTTAAGGGGGTTCCAGCGGGAGGAGTTAGGAGGTTACAGGTAGCTTAAGTGCAAGAACTGTATATAGGCTGTGGGGTAAAATAAAACGAATTTCCTGACGTGGGATTTTTTTTTCGATTTATTACAGATCGGACAAGGAGAGTGAGAGTCGCTCTGGTTTACCCGGGCAAACAATTTTCCAAGGGATACCTCTGCAAGTAAAAAACAAATATAATTGAGATGGCTACAATGTGTCGAAGTAAGTGCTTTCTATGAATTCTTTTTTTTTTTTTCCACGCATACACTTTTATGCAACTCTTTTTATCTAATCTGTTTTGCTCAGACCAATTGTATTATCATATAATTCAATGCTAAAATTTACACTAATCAACCAACAAATTTTAATTTTTCTACCCATTCATTATTTAAAATAATTAGAACTACATTATAAAAATGTTGGCTTTTAAGTTATATTAAATTTTTTAAAGGAAATCTCATCAAGACGTGACTATTAGGTACATCTTTCATCGAGTTCCCCTGACCATATATTATATATCAAAAGCATCAACTCTTGAAAAGATAAGACTCTCATACAACTCGTAAAAAGTAAGTGTATCTCGGCAGTGCTTTTGTTTTTGTGCCAGTATATACCATGAAAAAGTTGTAAACGAAGTCTTGACTTTCGCGGTGCTACGTTTCTTGGGAAAAATCGCACTAAACCAAATTATCAAGGAAAAATGTTGACAAGCCGTGACCCACTTGTCTTTAATTTACGCTGCAATTGGAATACGGTGCTATTGTATTCGCGGTGGAATTGCAAAATTTAATCGGAGATCGCATGTCCGAAAAATACTGAAAAAATAATAGTTGTAGTTTAATTTACACATACAAATTTTTTTATAATGCGCTTATCATAAAAACGAGTATTAAAACGATAGTAAAAAATAATCGTAAAGATAAAATGGTAAGTACAACATACATGAATCGGTAGTACTAAAAATAATCGTGAGAAAATAACAAATTCAAAAGTATGTAATAAAGCACTTATATTTTTTCATTGTCACGTGATGCGTCCATCAGGCCATACGTCATGTGGGCCAGTCGCCTGACCCGCGTGATAACGCATCTTTTCTACTTATTCCTATTTATGCATTGTACTTACGATACAACTCAAACTTTTTTGATAAAATTAAATTTTTAAGGCAACTACAGGGTATATTTGAAGAGGTAAAAATAAATATCCCAGCAAAAAAATCATCACCGGCATGTTAAATAAACAAAAAAAAATTGCGTGGACGTATTATAGCCAGTAAGCAGCAAGATTATGTCAATTAACTCGCCTATAACGACACATTTAGTTGCTAAAAAAAAATGTTTCATGCGCAACACTTGTAATATACTTACGATGAAACGAAAAAACGTAACTTGCTCGTAATATGTGTTGCTAATAATGCTAAAGTATGACGTTATCCTGTTACGCAACTGATTGTTATCATATATTTTTAAAAAGCAAAGCTCCTATGAGTCCTGTATTTATAGTAACCATAAGAATATAAACATAGTAGCCACATGGGAAAACAAATCGGTTGATGGAGGTGTGCTTTTTAAAAAAAATATCACTTTTATGTATAGGTACGTACTAGTTCGCGGTCGCGATTTTTCTGCGCGTCGAACGCATGTCAAACGATATCTCCTTCGCATTGCGTAACTTTCATCAATGCAATTCCTTTTTTTTCTCCAATTCTAAAATAATTGCAGTGTCCAAAAGTACGGTGCTTGAAATTTATTATTCTTTGTTTTGTCGTTAACAACTTTTATACCAATGCCTATAAAAAATATTAAGTACCTCTAAAATTCTCGGCTGATTTGAAGGAAAAGTAAAAAGATCTTGTGTGAATTTTTCTGAATAGCGTGATTTTCGTGGAAAAGTTCTGAAAATGTCCCCTTGATGGGTACACTATGTGGGTATCTCAATTTGAGAAGAGAAACAACCGAACAAAAACTGAAAATTAAAAAAAAAAAAAAAAAAGGTAAAAGGTGAGAATAGCCACGAGGCGAATGCACGTGACGTTAGGCTAATGCGTACTTAGTAGCCGAAAGATAATATTTATCTAGCCGCGAGTCGGGGGGTAAGCTGATATAAGGCACAGGTAATTATGATCCCCACCTGGTTGTTGAGGTGCCCAAACGACGAAGTGCATCATCAGGACTCAATGGTATACAGTAGTGGGATATCTACATGTCAGCTGCAGAATCCACACCGTCGTCTCGAGATTCAGTTAGACTTTTGATTTTGTTTGAATGGTCGTCTCTTCGGTGGCTCAACTACAAAGTTTATAAGAGTTGCTTCGCTCCACCGCGTGTGGTTAGGTACACCTATATACGGATATACTTACTCTCTCGTTCGCATTTGAGTTTTGAAAAAACATTCCACGCCATCTCCGTTTTTCACTTTAGGAGAAAAGTGTTGTAACAATAAAAAATAATATATATTTTCCAGGTTAGCAGATATAATATACTGGTATATCATGAGAAACATTGTAATGGAATACACTGTGGTTTTTGTTATATACGTGTATTATATACTTGGGTAACTGGTACAACGTATTTCTCATGCTAACCTCTAAAATGTAGTCATATTTTATATTTAACAACACTTTTTGCTGTTTTATACTGAAAGTTCGAAAAAGTATTATTTGTTGTCTGCGACAATCGTCGATAATTATAATTATGATCAGGTAAGGAGGACCAATTACTATCGCATCACTCACATGGGCATTAGGCACGTTATGACTAGAAATAAGATCAACAAATATTGAAATTGCATATGATTGGTTACTTTTTTTTTCATTTACAATACATATAGTACATCGCGGAACTTCTAGGCATTATTTATATTTTATCAGATCCGCGATGATTATCGGACTTTTCCGAGATACTGTGCTGTGTGAAAAAAAAAGAAAATATGATAAATAGAAAAATCTCGTAATCTGCAACAGTGCAAAAAGAAATACGTACCTTGACGAAACGAATTATTTGGAAACGTACTTTCCTCGCGTGATTCTTCCTTGCCGGACGATTGTCAAAAATTGTGAGAACTATTTAATTTTGCGATTACCATAAGTATACACATCGGGTCGAACGATAGGTTTGGTATACATTAGCATAAACTCGCGTGTGCATATAATTATACGAATGCGTGTATGCGTTACTCTCCATAATTCATCGTCAGCACCTCGTACGATCGGCTCGTTTCAGTTATTCATTACCTCGGCGATGTTTTATTTAAACGTTTCACAAAAAACTAAGGGGATAAAAAAACAACACGAGGAATACCCAACTCGAATCACGATACTTTTTATCAAATAAGTCAATTACCTTTGCTTTTTGTGCGGTTGCATTGTTTTTTTTTTTTTTTTTTTTTCAATGCATCGTGTATAGCTATGCATAATAAGTATTAAGTGCAACCGTGCACGAGAACATATATTTTTTCAACCCCCGTGGATATGTATGTCTGTGCTGTCTGACCACACCGCGTCCTTTTCTACTGATACGTATGTGTACGTATGTTATATACATATATTTTCACGAGAACTTTTCAAACGCCCTCACTATACGATTAAGTACTGCCGTTGAATTTTGCACACGAGTATCGCTTACTTACTTGAGTACCATGTTTTATCCTTTCAAAATTAATGGGATATTCAAGTATGAATTTCGTACCCCTCCTTTCCTTTCGCCTGTGCAATCAGGGACCTACACTACTTGTTGTTCGATGCACATACACACATACACAAGTTTATCCCCCAAAAGGGCCCGATATTGCGTAGGTACACGAAAAAGTGTAACCCTCTACTTATAAGTAGTGACAATACTTACATTTTAAGCTAAAATAGCGCAATAAATTCGGATAATCATACATGAGTATACAGAGTATAGAATATAATTGTGTATGTAAATAAAACTTGCACTGGTGCAAATTATAATAATGGTGGGTGGGTGAATTTATATTACGTCGAAAAGATATGACAATGAAAGATTACTTACTTTCTAACAATATCATGACGATAAAGTTAAAAAAAAATCGTTTGTGTAAAAGTTATATTATTTGAAACTCTCTTAAATCCTTCCAAAGTTGATTAACTCAATCGGTAAAAAAGGCGTGTGTGCAAAGAGTAGTTGTCTGAAGAATCCGAAGAATTGTTGATACGAGCGAGATCACCAGTCGTCGACGCCAAAGTCTTAATACCTACATATTCAACAAATATCAAAACTTACTGAACTCATGGACGATAACAGAACAGCACGTGAATTATTGTTTTATTGTCGCCGGTGATTATTTGCGGTGCTCAGTGATTAACGGTCAAAATGGGAATTCTGGAAAAAATATCAGAAATCGAGAAGGAGATCGCGCGAACACAGAAAAATAAAGGTAAAAGGCTAGTCGTAGGTTATGTGCTAGCTATACATATCTACGGTTCTTATTTATCTTAATTGACCAACTGACAATAGATTGAACTTTTTTTTTTTTTTTTTTCAGCAACTGAGTACCATCTGGGATTGCTGAAAGCAAAACTAGCAAAGTATCGCTCGCAACTGTTGGAGCCTTCGAAAAAGTCAGAAAAAGGTGAAGGCTTTGATGTTTTGAAGTCTGGAGATGCCAGGGTGGCTCTGATAGGTTTCCCATCCGTGGGCAAATCTACTCTACTCAGTACCTTGACTCACACAGCATCCGAGGCTGCTTCTTACGAGTTCACTACTCTCACTTGTATACCGGGAGTCATTGAATACAAGGGTGCTAACATACAGCTGCTCGATTTGCCTGGTATCATCGAGGGAGCTGCTCAAGTAAATAATAGCATATTCCTAGACTTTGATTATTTCTAGAAAAGCGTTCATGTTTGGTTTAATTATTATTTCAGGGCAAAGGTAGAGGAAGGCAAGTCATAGCTGTAGCAAGAACAGCAGATTTAGTTTTAATGATGTTGGATGCTACCAAACAAGATGTACAGAGGCAGCTGCTCGAAAAAGAGTTAGAGTCTGTGGGCATTAGGTTAAACAAAAAGAAACCCAATATATACTTCAAAATAAAAAAAGGTGGTGGATTGTCTTTCAACTCAACTTGCATTTTGACCAAAGTTGATGAAAAGTTGGTTCAAATGATCTTGCACGAGTACAAAATATTCAATGCTGAAGTTTTATTCAGAGAAGATTGCAGTGCCGATGAACTGATTGACGTTATTAATGCCAATCGTGTATATCTTCCATGCCTTTACGTTTACAATAAGATTGATCAAATTTCAATCGAAGAAGTTGATAGGATTGCCAGGCAACCAAACAGTGTCGTAGTTAGGTAATTTATAAAATAATATTTTAATCGAAGCCAAAAGAACATAGATTAGATTTATGAAAAAATTTAACATTACAGTTGCAACATGAAGCTGAATTTAGATTTCTTGTTAGAGACTCTGTGGGAATTCTTATCCCTCATAAGAGTCTACACAAAAAAACCCGGCCAACCTCCAGACTTTGATGATGGCTTGATTCTCAGGAAAGGAGTCACAGTTGAACATGTTTGCCATGCAATCCATAGAACTTTAGCTGCCCAATTCAAATATGCACTTGTTTGGGTATGTACACAGTCTTTGATTAAATCTACTTAAATTCTACATCAAATTAACTTTTTTTCAAAATTAACTTTTTTTTTTTTTTTTTCATAGGGCACTAGCACAAAATATTCCCCTCAAAGGGTTGGCATACAACATGTTATGCAAGATGAAGATGTTATACAAATCCTGAAAAAGTGAAAAATTAATTTTTTTTTGCTCATGAACTAAAGAACTATTGATGGTGAAGATTTTTGTATATTTTTAACTGAGATCTTTGTCGTGATATGAAATTCAACAGATCTATTGAAACTGAGAATAAAGAGGATTATGAATACCTTCAATTTTAATTCCATATCATCAAGAAAGGTATGTTAGGGAGGTATGCCTATTTATTGAAAAAAGTTTTAAACAGCAAAACTTTGGAATTACAACATTGTTTTATTAATAAAAATATCGAGATAAAACGATTCTTGTTTCCTTAATGTAAATATTTATTCAACTAAATCCAACAAATTACGACAGTGGTTGCATTCTAAACAATTTATGGACTTGCTTGTGAGTCAAGGATTTTTCACCAGGTATCAAGTTACCTTTTTCTTTTGTCACTTTGGCCCCTTTTTTGGCCTTTTGAAAGTTTTCAAAACATATATTTAAACTTTCTGCTTGCTTTACACACATTTTATTCTCATAATCGTTTGTTTCTAGACATTTAATGAGCATTGTTATTTCATGCAAACAGCTTCCCTCTGAAATGTATTATATCAATGAATCGGGATGTTCTTACTGATGATTAGTTGACGATTTACGTGTTAATTTTAAAAGTCCTTACCTTTCTTTGTGTCTGACTTTCCAGAAACTCTCTCTTTCAATCTTAGAGGCATCATTTCCCTAAAAGGTACTTTATTTATAGGCTGAGGAGTTCTTCCCTTGTTAGGGGTATTAATTCTCAATAGAGTTGTGAGCCTCATTTTCTAAAAATTTAAATGACATTATAAAACATAAAAATGTTGTGTATTACACGTAGGTTATGTTTATTGCTCATTGGTTATAAATTTGAAATAATTTAAAAAGATTATTGAATTTACTCTAGATTATCCAGTTCAATGGCAGCTCAAATAATTTTGCAAAACTTCAAAGCACAAAACACTGAACTTGCTATACGATATACACTTAATTTTTCATGTATATATATTTTTTTTACACTTCACATCTTCGATATTCGATGTTGTCTGCTACACCAAACGACCAAAGCAGAAGGCAGAAGCCACATCATGTATTACACACACCTCCAAACATGATTGATGAAATGGTGACAGAAAAGAGGATTCTGCGTGCACGCAAATAATTAAATCAACAAAATTTTATCGCTGTACTTAAATATATGGGGTACTCGGTGAAATTTCAAGAATTGCTTAAACAGTTTTATATCAGACAATCGGCTGAGAGTGCGTGGTTCGATTATCGCAAAGTATTAATGGGTAATTCAAGTGATACAAAGTGAGCGTAAAACCTGCACATCAAGCTCAGTAGACTTACACTTCTTGGAAGTCCTTTGGAAAATCAAGGACGACATACTTCAAAGTATTGTTTCTCGATACGTTGCCCTCAGATGCGATATATCAGTAAAACTTGTATTGCTTCGAATACATATATATATATACATATATATNAAAAAAAAAAAAAAAAAAAAAAAAAAAAAAAAAAGGGAGGGGGGGAAGGGAAAAAATAAAGAGTACGTACGGGCATAAAATGCTGTCTCACAGAGTATAGGTATATGTAAATGAAGGAAAAAAAAAAAAAAAAAAAGAGAAAAACGTCACCTGAAAGTCGCAGTGTATGATCTCGGTGTCGTCGAGTAGTCGAATAGTGGCGCGATAGAGCACCGTGACGTCGCTTTTGCTGCCGAACTTCAACATTATATATTCGACGGCTCGAGGGTGGTATAACGGCTTTTGGGGCCACCAGCAGCTCCTCTGCCTCTTGACCAAACTACCTTCCTCACCGTCACCTCAACCCCATGGCTACGTGCAGCGTACAATGTACACTTCACCTATGACGATGATAATAATATGTACACCTATAATACTTTGGCACTCGCACGATTTTGCCGGCGAAAGGAGCCAGCCACAACCAGGACGGTGGTGCACACACGCGCCCACGCACATATGTGTGTATACACCCGAGGAACCGTCCCCCCGTGCTTATAACTGTAGGCTACCCATCCCCCAACCCTCCCTTATTTCACACACGCGCGTATAAGTATATGGTGACCTATATATATACATACGTGCAATATGATACACCCTCTGTACACACACACACACACACTGCTTTTGCCTCTTTTCTCCTGCTTGGATCGAAAAAAAAGGGGTTATTGTTGTTGTTGTTGTTGTATTTCGAGGCGTCCACGCCTCAGTGCTGCGACAATTAATTTTAACCACGATAAATATTATATGCACGTAAGTATACAGTATTGCTGGATACAATAAGATATAGGTTCACTGCCGCTGATGGAGCGAGAGATGTGTAAATAATGTATACCTATACATATATATATATGTGTGTACTATACAGTATGACAGCTGCTCTCGTCAGCGCGCGAGGAGCGTAACGAGCGCACTGCCGCCAGCGGTGCTATCTCTTCCCCGACGAGCCGATTCTCTGATGGCTGTACACACACACACACTCTCTTCTCTCCGTCTCTTTCGCACCCGCACCGTACATATTGTATCGTACAGCTCGTCTCTATATATTATGATCACCACTACACATATAATTGTATGTGGTAAGCTGGTAAGGTATATATTATACACCCCACTGGACACCGGTGCGCGGTGCGCCCTCGCTCTGCCGTGCAGCAACCCCTTGTACTACAGTGTATAAACACTATATATATATATATATATATATATATATATATAGAAGTGCTATANATTATTTCTTTATATAATAAAGAAATAACCGGATGTTATTATTATCAATTTATTCGCATCACTGGGGAATCTTATGCTCTGCTTGAGAAAAACTCAAGGCAACGACAAAATAAACATGAATTTCCAACGAGTAAATATGTTTCATAGTTTATAATTAGATAAATAAATTAAACGGAATATCATGATTGTTCTTAACATTTTCCAGACAATGATATAACATGATTTTTCTGAATCAAAAATTGTAAGACGTTTTTCAAAGCAAACTACAATGGTATACATAAGTAACAAAAAAATCATGGTAATCAGATGAGCTTCAAGTATCTTGATACATCTTTATAATTTCTCAAGTATTACAAAAAAAAGCGTTTTATTAAAATATTAAAAATTTCAAGTTAATTAGTTATTTTGATTAAAATTAAGCTACAAACAGATGTTTGAAGACTATGTATTTTTGTAAGATAAGTAAAATAAATATAAGCGTATTATGTTTATTTACAAGTTTTTAAGTAAATCCACAGTCGGTGCGTTCAGTAAAAGACTCGAAAACTTTCAATGACTATACAGTAAAGTAAAAAAATCATCACTCTCATAATATATCTTATCAACTTGACCTGAAATTTAAAAAATTTGCATACAACACGAGACTGCGATTTGTAAAAAATGGTATATATACTACATTTACTACACGAAAAAAAAAAAAATTCATTTTTTATAAAAAAATGATTTCCGGTATTATGGTGGAATAGAATGAAAATTTTTGTACAAAACAAATTTTCTTATACCCAGTAAATGTTGTAATGAAAATTAAATTTCATAGTTCGTGGGCCCCAACAGTTCATCCCAATCGATTGTAGTTTGAAAAACTTCTTGCTGAAGCCAAAGTTCGTAGTGTTGCTTAAATTCATCAGTCAGTTCAACATTTGTCCCGAGCACCGACGTTATCGACGTGTCAACGGGTTCTAACTCTTCGTCTCTTACCGCGTTTGAGTATCTCCGGTTATTAAAACGATCTACACATGCTCTAAGAGTACATTCTTCAGCTTGAAAATCCCATGGCCTAGCCTCCAAATCTGTGAACACATCGACTTTGTTAAATTATTTGCTTATCAAGCCTTACTATAAATGTATTCTTATAAAATTTTACCATTTCCAAAAGCCCAATCGTCATTCAAACGATGTCGAACTTTGGAATATATGACACTGATTGTCTTCATATTTGTTTTTCTCCACTGTCTCCCTAGATATTTTGTTTGCATTTTAAGCAGCTTTAAAACGTACAATTGTAACATGCCATGCATCACTTTTAGTGTTCGTTTTAAAATAGGAGCCGACTTGAAGACAACCAACATCTGAAAAAAATTTCGTTATCAAGTATTGAATTTCCTTTACATAGAAACGTATCAAAAAGATTACATTACCATTATTCTGCTGTGTTTCCATTTGGTCAATTTATTGAGTATTCTGAGTAAATTAATACAAGAAAACACGTTTCTCCATGAATAATTTTGATTATCTCCTATTTCAAGATTATCCACTGTAAGTTCAGGCTGATCACCAATTACACACATTGGAAAATCGAGTATAGGAATGCTGCAATCATCACTAAGGTAAGTAAAAAACATGAAAAATCAACATTAATTAAAAAAAAGGTATTGGAGTCTTACACATTTTTTGCTTCAATGTATACCAAAATGTTTTGATTCAGAAATTTCAAGACCAATGGTATGCAGTTGGCAAAAACAAGGTGCTGGGACATGAATTCAAATTGATAGACATGATTCAATTTAAAGTGCTTCAGTAAAAGAAGTAATATGGCCGAAACTGCCTTGACAACAATCTCTTTATGACGATTGACGTCAATACCAAGTTTCATGGATTGTAATACTGTGACCCTGAAATTTTTCGTATTGTTGAGTTTTATGTGCATTGGCTAAGATTCGTGAGAATTGCATATTCGAAAAAACTTACGGCATCTCTTCCGGTAAAACGTCAGACATCACGTTAATACTATCAGTTTTAGTTTTACTTGTTGGTGCAGCAGCTAATAGTATTTTTAGTAATGCAATCATATGTTGAGGTAAATTAGGTAACATTGCTTGATACAGAATTTCCGTAGCGGTTTGTCGAATTGTGGGTTCTTGTGTACTAATTGGATTTTTAGCAATTTCTTCCTCCTTTTGAATTTGAATTTCTGCCAGTGAAGTATACATGTGCTATAAAAGTAAAATAAAAAAATTGATTGAAACCATTTGGGAATAATTTTACAAAATCTATAAATATTTACTTTTTTCAAAGTACTTAGTCCCTCGTGAATCGGCTGAGGTAACCCGGCTAAACTTTCGCGATCACCCTGCAATTTGTATCCCACGAATTTGAGCCTCGAAACATCCAAAAATGTATCGACATCTTTTTGACGAACTTTTGGAGCCCACGGTAAACCTGTGAAAAAAATGATTGAATGCATTAAAATTTTATTTTAAAATGTCTTGAAGTAAAAAAAAAAAAAAAACATTGTAGTGACTTACCTTTGATTTTTGTGGGTGGAGGGGTATCTGGTCTTGTTTGAGGTTGATCATTGGGATTGTCATAAAAAGTTTGATTGGGTCCAACTTGAGGGTCCTTTAAAAAAACTCCTTCATCAACATCACGTTCCGAAGTATCCATACCATCATCGTTTCTAATGAGCTTCATACTTGAATCATACTCCAAGTTTTGCTCATCCAATGAACTTTGTTTCATTAAACTCTGTAAAATTAATAAAATTTGTTAAAAAAATACTTAGCAATTAATTTTTCAAATTATTAATTGATAAAATTTACTCTTCTCAAAGGTCTATTAGTTTTCTTTAAATTTTGCGAATCTAATAAATCTGTGGCACTCGATGGAGGAGAACTCGGTCTCATTACTTTTGCTACTTCTATGGTATCTTCTTGAAGATTATCAAGACCAGCCTGTTCTCTATAGGTTTTCTTTAGTTCTCTTAAAGTTTCCATACCTCCCAATGAAACTAAAATTAACTTCCATAACAAAAGTAAAACTTTTTTCATTGGAAAATGTGGAGCAGACCCACTGCAGAAAGATGTCACCATTCCTAGTAGTTTTACAGTTAGCAACTCATCTTCGCTAGAGTTCACTGTAATAATTTGATAAAGTTACATTTTCTCCATACTTACATTAAAATGTAAATAATGAAAATTGAAAAATCGTCTCACATAATTCTTCTTTAAAAGATTCAACATTGTGTTTATAAATAGAATTGTCCAAACATTTATTTTCTTCTCTCATCACCTCAGTAATAACATATAAAACAGACAATATAACACGAAGATCCACTGAATCTGCAAGACTCATGGCCAATTTTCTTATGGCAGTACTTGCAGCAGCGCTGTTTCTACACCATATTATTTGAACAATTAACAGTTTTTTTATTTTCTAACCTTAAGATTATTTTTTTAAAATGAGAAATTCGTTATCTTACTCAATTTCAATGTTCAACAATTCAACAAATGCCGAAAATGTTCCACACTCATACAGTAGCATGACATTTTTCTTTTCCCACTCTTGTTGCTCTTTATCAGATTGAACTTCTGCCCAGCAGCCCTGTGCCAAGTATAAAATACACCTAACTGCTTTCATTCGCATTTGTTTATCCGATACTTCCAGCTGATCGAGTAACTTAAAAATTATTGACTTGTGTTGGTCCATTGTCAGGTTTTGCCAAACCGGACGTAACTTGTACCATTGCATTTGGTCCTCGAAAGCCTAAAGATTCATTGATTAAACACTTTAAAAGATCATGGTAAAGTTTCAATAACTTACTTTAACATTGAGTTGCAACTCTGGGTGCTCCGTGTAACTGTAAAGCTCAGCGATTTCGTTGGCATGTGTGTCAGCGTCATCGTAAACAAAATCGAGTTCTGAACAAGTCGAGGTTTCCTGCGACGAAAAATATGTAATCAGTTCTATTGACATGACCTAGCCAAGCCAGGTCTGTTTAAAACCATGACGTTTATTAAATTTGTAGTTGAAACGTGACCGATTTGTAAACAAAACTTACCATGATTGCCCTGATTATTATGATAGTTGTCTCATTAAAGTAAGGTGGCTAACAGATCTACGGACATCAGATGGATAAAGCTGTGAAAAATAACACAACAGCTGGAACACGCCTAATAAACCTCCTCGTTCCTGTGATTGACATCACGGCGTCCGATGATAATTTATAAAGATTGTTCATCAGATGTTACTCGAACACATACACACACGCATTTGGATTATAGTACTGGGTTGGTCTGTGTGGTCGATATGTGAGAGAGCGGTAATTCGAGCAAATTAGATTTGAGATGATTTGATAAACTTTTGAAAGTAAAGGATGTAACTTAAACAAGTCTTTATATTTTACTTTCTGAGCTCTGTACCACGAGTATCACAACACAACAGCCAACTATAAGTACACTTATGACATCATTTTCAAAGAAAAATAACCCGATCGGGATACAATGTGGAGAATCGAAGTCGAAGCCATGTTGTGGGGGTGGTGCAGAGAGTGCAGATGCACAGACTGCAAATTCCAAAAACAGCGGTGACAGTGATGCGGATGGCTAGTTCACTGGGGACATACTTATCTGTAGAGAGACTCGAGAGTGCGCATGTGTGTGCATGATGATGGTTGCAGCACCTGCGGCAAGCGGCAGTGCACAGTGCCCTGCTGTATCAAATCGTGATCCACCGCCGCCCCTCATCTATTTGTTGGTATACTTTTTGTTGGTAGGTACATACACTAAACGACGGCTAGATATTCGCGACCCCCTCCGCGGGTTGAGTGACACTGAAATCATGTATACTTCAGTCACTCAACTCATCGGAGGGGGCCGCGAATACTTATCTGGCCGTCTAGTGTATATCGTCGCACTTACGCGGGTAAGCGAAAACCAAATTAAAATAAAACAAGCAGAAGAATGCAACAACATTAAAATACAAATAACCAAAAAATTTTTTTCAAATGGTATGATATTCAAAGATTTGTTTTTTTTTTTTTTTTTATTTTTTTTTATTTTAATGCTGTTAATGATGGTTTTTCTTTCTCCCGAAATAAAATTACAATAAAATGTGTGCAACATTTAAATAAAATCGGTTGCGACGTCGTGGTCGTGTCGTTAAATAATACATTATAATATCAACTGAGCTTATACGAATTCTAATAAAAATAAAGGAAAATTAAATAAGATGCATATATTATATATACACTTTAGTGGAATAAAAGTTAAAAACATACTACATGAATAGTGTCAGGTTCTATTGATGTATACATGAATATTTAAAAAATCATCACATGACTATAAATAAGGGAACTTGTAAATGTATGATACCTACTCAAGAAAAGCCTTAATTTGCGGATATTTTGAATTTTTCAATAAAATCCGCGACCTCTGTGGTAAATGAAAAAGCTCAGCGTTCGGTATGGATGTCTGACTTTCAAATAAAATACATATGAATCGCGCGTGTATGGATTTCCAAACATTTTAAAGAATAGCAGATTACTGAATTAAAAAAGTTTCACACATCACATCGGGCTTTCTTTGTTTCCTTCCGTGGGTTGTATAGTATATACCTATACGATTATTCACGAATTCTGCGCTTGGGGAAGATATTTTCGGGGAAGGAAAGTTTCGCATTGGTGAGAAATTAATTTTTCCTGAACAAAGAGCATTTTTTTTCCAGACAAGTACATTCATCACTACTCCACAATAGGAAATACAAAGTGAAATTATGTTTAACGGCGAATAAGAGCAACGGTTGGAAAAAAAATTGTGTAGGTTCTTGGTGAAATAATCTATTTTGATACGTGTGGTGTTAAAGTTTAACTTACATCTCTATAGTGAAGCAGTACACGATACAGCACGTTTAGAAGTTTATATGGTATAATATTACCACCCATAATGGATCGTGTGGGAAAGAGGCCGTTGTTGAAGCTCGGGGAAGCCCACGTTGACGCCAAGAAGGGTGATGCTGAATATTTGGTGAGATTAGAAGGGTATTAATTCGTCATAGCAAAACCGTTAATTTGACTGTCTATATATTTATACTGTCAATGGAATTAAAAACTAAGATAATTGGCTGGGAAGTTTTTATGCAACCCTGACATTCATCACTTCGGACTATCATTTTGTTCCGGTTGTTATACAAAACTTTCTTAATGGCGCGTGGGACTGGCTACAAAAGAGCCTCGTGAAAATCAATCGGTTCGGTTTTTCCGCCCGGAAATTTTAGAATTTCCGCCCAACGATTAAATAATTCTTGTTTTTTACTATAACGACAACACCTACACGTACATCATTGGTTCGTTTTTATATAAAAAATTAACTTTGAAAAACGTGAAAAAAACAATCGAATATTTCATACGTTAAAGTAATACATTGTCAAATACTTGAAATGAAATATTTAAATACATTTTCAAGGATACCTAAATTTTATTATTTTTTTTTTTCTTTCCTATACACTAGAGCGAAAAATTTGAAAAAAGTACCCGTGCGTGAGACTCGCACACTCATAATAGAGTTTTCTAAACAAAACTGACTTATTGAGCAAGTAACCAATAAAAAAAATTCCAAAATCAAGTGTCAGTCGACTGTACGAGCGAAGTAACATAAAATAAAAAAATACAAAAGTCTGACGATTGAAAAAACGTTATATACTATACACGGTTACCAACTGAAAAGCAATAAAAACTGTTGCGCCAAACGAGGTAACCAATTGATAAAATTGAAAAATTAAAGCACCTATCGGTCGATTAAAAAAAATTTTCCAAACAAACCCAAGTCAAACGAGGTAACCAACTGATAAAATCAAAAATCAAAAAATGTTTCTCAGTTGACTGAAAAAAGTTTTCTAAAACTCGGTTAGCAATAATCAGTCTAAACTAATGAAATCCTGTGTTACACTTAATGGTTATCGATTAATCGAAACTGTGTTTATACATTATAACTGTATTATGACGGAGAACAGATGACGAGGAGGAGGAGATGAGAACTCGAGGGTCAGAGGGAGGAGGGAGCTGCCGCTGCGAGGAGTGCGAGGAAATACACATGCAGAGGAGTAGGGGAGGAAGGAAGGATTTCTTCTCTCATCTCGGTGCTCCGAAACGTATATATACATATATACATGTGTAATTGTATGGGTAAGTATACATTGGTGGCGGCGCGCAGCTTCGCACACGCACAAGTATTGCGTATAGGCAGGACTCCGCGACCCGACTCCGAAACTTTGAAACGGTCCTGCTGCGGTTAGTCGTGGTCTGGTCGTGGTGAAGCATCGAGCGGTGATGTAGTTGGGGGGAGCATATACCTACAACTCTCGGGGAATCAAACTTGCCGCGCTGTACAGCGCTCGCCATCGCCGAGGAGCCGGCTTCCTTCGGTAACCACTCGTGTGTGCACACATAGCGCGCCTATATATACATACAGGGGGAGCATATTTATACCGACGAGAGGGGCTCTGGTTGAATTACTTTGACACTATTGTATACGTGTGGGATATCCTCCGAAAGTTGAGGAGTCTATCGCAGGGATGCAGGGCACCATCATCGAGAACCTCAGCGGCAAGAAGCTCGCTGTGCTCGTGGTGCTTCTCCTGCTCGGCCAGGCCATCTCCTTCCTCGTTGGCGGCATCGTTGGTGAGATGCACACTCTCGTATACCTATATACTCTTCCTCCGCACACATTTTCACCTCCTCCTTGCCGGCTGACTACTCTCTAAGTATACATATATATATAGCTCTCTTTCTTTCTCCAATACTTGTACCCAGTGCATACCCACCCTTAATGGTCGCTCCCGAGAGACGATGTATAAGTATCTCTCGATTTCTATATAATATCTGTCTCTTTGCTTTTCTCAAAATTTTATTCTTATACACTTATACTTTTTTTATGGTTCCCCGACGCGTCCTGCCGCTACACCTGATTCTCTACTTCGTTATTGTTGATTATTTCCTGGAAGTTTGCTCGAAGCAAAAAATAAAAACATTTCAAGTGTACATATGTGTACAATCCATACCGATTTGTTGATTTTTATACTTACACGTTATTTAGTTGTACCGGTGTACTTATATGAACAGCCGAAGATTTTTTCTTCTTCTTTGTCGGCGCGTCTTTTGAGCGGCAATTTTATTACCTCCGCTCGCCCAGTTAGCACTCGCTTGCTTGAATTTTTCTTTTTTTTTTCTCTCTCTCTCTCTCTTTTATAGCTTCCTCTGTAAAATTGGAAAAATCGAGAATGCGTTAAAAGTACTCTCACATTTGACGATTTCTATGCCATTCAAAAACTGTTTTCACCTTACTTTTTATCCTTTTAACAATTTATAGCGATGTACACTAATTAGATATCACTATATCATTGTGTTTTTTTTTTTTTTTACATCTACGATTTTTACTTTCCAATTGTTAAGTACGAGGTACTTGAAAGCTCGCCGTGCGTAAGTCGAATCTGCATAGGACGCGGTGTGTCTGTACGCGGGAGTATAGAGTATTCTTTTTTAATTGATAAGTACTCCTCTTCTGCATACATCGTATCTCCGAGTATACAAGGGGGACAATGGAGTGGCTGTACTTGAAACATCATGACTTCAATTTTCCAGCTTTCGAGCACCCTTACGTATCATACGTATACTCAACTGCGTGCCCGCTTTTTTTCCTGGATTTTTACTGATCCTGCTACCTTTTTTACCTTTTTTTTTTTTTTTTGTTCATTCAGTCATTTTTTTCTATTTTTTTCCCCCCCAAGTACGAAAAAAAAAAAAAAAAAGATTTGCACTGTTAATTTATTATTCGCAGAGTAAAAATTAATAATGTTCCGTCACTTTTCAGCGCCACCACCATCCAACAGTCAAAATATATTGGGTACAGCGTGCTTGGATAAGCGCAATCGCAACGGCACTGCACCCGGTATTGATACATGGATTTATTCGAGACCGCCCGGAAAGTGTAATATCTTAGACACCCATGCCATCACTGACAACATATCACCGATCGTGTACTCATTTCAGGTATATTTCTGTTTTTTTTTTATATAAAGAAAAATTTTTATTATTTTTCGTTCATTGTAGATGCCTTCACCGCGGAATAAACAAATTTTGGACTACTCTCGATGGCAACACAGTTTGATCGGTGTTTTGCAGATCGATATCAAATACCACAGACACATCATCGTCCGTGAGTATATGATACGTTAGATAAACATTTTACTATTGGGCCAAAAACAAAAAAATATAAATTTTTTCTAATGGTTTGCAGATCCTACGACAAAATTAACTTTGGATGCAAGACTAGCTTACAGAAACAAAGGCGATCCCGAGGACGCGTGGAAGCATTACGCCTCTTCTCTCGTTGAAAGAAATTTGGACTGCTCGATCGACAAGGTCATTTGATGCTTATCCGAATATCGTGTGTTGCTTACGTCCAAATCAACGTTTATTCCTTGTTCCAGCTTCACGAGGAATACAATTACCACTGCAGTACGTTGTCACTTTTTGAATTGGGTTCATTATACCACGATTACTATTTACTCAACGTTCGGTTACCCAATGATCCGACGAAAAATATTAACCAAGACGTGGGCCACGTCACTGATTTGTGGCTCACCGTGAGTCGATTACTTTTTGCCTACACGGCTAGTTTAGCAACGGCAAAATCAATACTTGAAAAAAAAAAAAAAAAAAAAAAATTTTCAGGTCATCAATCAAAACGGGGGATTCACGAAAGTTTGGATAACTTTGAAAACAATATATTTTCCAATTACCCTTCTTATTCTGTGCTGGTACTGGAGGCGAATTCACATGCTGTCGAGATCCCCGGCTTTATTGGAATACATGTTACTCGGTCTGGGTTCTGCCCTGAGTTTTTTAAATTGTAAGCAAAATGTGTTTCGATCGATCAAAATGACCGATAAAGTATATAAATTTGGGTGCTTACATTTTTCAGGCCCCATCGAATATCTTACGTTGTTCTTCGATATGCCATTCATGCTTTTACTCGAGGACTTGAGACAAGGAATATTTTACGCGACGCTATTATCCTTCTGGCTTGTTTTCGCTGGTGAACATTTGATGGTAAATTAAAAATAATATTCGTACTTTTTTTTTCTTCTTAGTTCTAATTCGATAATGATTGAATTTTTTCGCTGTTTCACGTTTAATGAAACTTTTGAAACGATCTCAGGTTCAGGTAATTTTTTTTTTCTACTTTAAATTTGAAATTCGAGAAGAGACGGTCTAGTCTGAAATTTACTTAAATTTCATACTTGCGATTTGTTTAGGAAGGCGATCAAAAAAATTCTTTGAAATGCTACTGGCGACACTTATCTGCAGTTGGAGTTGGCTGCTTGTCACTATTATTTTTCGATATTTGTGAGCGTGGTGTACAACTGAGAAATCCCTTCTACTCAATCTGGGTGACGAATCTTGGAGCGAAACTTGCTGTATCCTTTATATGAAAAAAAAAAAAAAAAAGAAATGAACATAAAAAACTATATGTTGCGATAAAATCTGGTATTTTCTTTAATTTAGTACAATGACGCGTAGTTGTCGTTTATTATATTAGCTGCCGTATCAGCAGCATTTTATCTGCTTTTTTTGGCATACATGATTTGGAAGGTATTCATAAACATAAGTGCCAAAAGGGCCGTACTACCAAGCATGAGCTCTGCCCGTCGATTGCATTACGAAGGTGTCATTTATCGTTTCAAATTTCTGATGGTCGCTACATTATTGTGTGCATCACTGACTGTCATTGGTTTTATTGTAGGACAGGTGATAATTATTACTTAATATTTTTTAATCTTTAAGTATGGTTTGGATAACAATTATTTTCATCACCTAAAAGCAATAAAAAAAAGATGAAATCACAAAAAAATAATATAAAACATTTGATATAAATTTGAGGAAATTAGAGTGTATTTGTTGTTGTGAATCAGCAATATTATATATACGTGTTATAATTATACTTGATGCTTTTATGAATGAAGTAGTCGTGTTTTAAGAGCAAAAGTTATGTTTTTAGAATAAAAAAAAAAAAAATAAATAATAATAATAAAATAAAAATTAAAGAAAAACAACTTTTTATAATAAGGTTGCCGAAGGACAGTGGAAATGGGATCAGGACATAGAATTAGATATGACATCGGGATTCTTTACAGGAGTCTACGGCATGTGGAATATTTATATCATAGCTCTGCTGTGTTTATACGCACCGTCTCATAAACAATGGCCGGTAGAACCATCAGGTAACATCATATTATAAGAAAACAATAGTTAATTGTTTTATAAGCATTTACAAATTTTTTTTTTTTAATAATCGAAAATTTATTTTTACAGAAAACAGTCTCAGTGAAGAAATAGAGTTCTCGAGATTACCGACTGAACCTAACGAGATGTTGTCTTTGACAGCATTCTCGCGAAAAACGGCAATAGATTAAATTTTATATTTTATTTGTCGATAATATGTCATGTCTAAATAACTGTCGAATTTGTAGTTTTCGTGATAAAAAGAAAAAACTTGTGTATTGTCACTGATGCGACGTATCTTTGGGCATTTGACAATGTTCATTGTTTTATCGAACTTATATATATTTAGATATTTAGTATTAAAAACAACAGTATTTGTTTTACTTAGGTATGATTAGACTGTATGTTTAATTAATAGCAGAATTGAATAATCATAATGTATATGAAGTCAAAGACCTAGTAATTTTAAAGTGATTTCTATATCTGAAGATTTTGTAAAATATTTTTCAGAAATTTTGATACTTAAAAGAGTTGAAGATTTTTAAACACTTCATATTTTTCGAACTGATTTTTACACACTAATGTTTTACAAAAATTATTTATTGACAATCGTTTTGATTCATTTGATACCGATATTTTAAAGAGTTTCAAACTGCCTGTAAATAAAACAGTTTACATTTTATATTATGACGTATTTTTTACTTTTACAACGTTAGTTTCAGCATTTATTAATAGCTCTGCTCTCATTTGATTTTTATATTAAAAATAGAATTCGAGAAGTTACCTTATAAGTGCTATCTAGAAAATGTATTTTAATTGTGATGTATGCATTAAAAACAATGAATTACTTAGTATAATATACTTAGAAATGAATGTATGTGCAAAATAAAGTGTTTTAAAATGATCAAACAGCAGAAAAAAAATATCGCTCTAATTGATATAAGTTTACAAAACAGTCTACATAGGGTGCCATTGCAAAAAATCAAAGTTTACGAGATACTATAGTTAGTAGAAATTTTGTACGATTTTAATATTACATTTTTTTAATAAATGAATTTGTTACTTTACACTTGTATTCTCTTTCCTGTCAAAGATACAAGTCGTTAGTAAACGTAAATAACCATTTTTACACAGAATCTTACAGTCATCATTTATTTTTTATTGTAACTTGAAAAATGTGTTAACGAGTCTTTTTAAAACCTATTTGAATATAATAAAACTTTCTAATACTTATTGTACTTTCTCAATGAAATCGCCGTACTAAAAATAGTAGATATACCGTTAAATTGTAAAAATTAAAAACGACTGGGGTGATTGGAGTTTATTTAAAAAAATTTTTAAAACATGTATACACACACCTAAAATTAAAATAAGAAATCCCCCCCCCCCACAGTCAGTTTGGCGAAAAGATAGTTCCATTGATGGTCGGAAGGGGCACTACTTGTATCTCCCCCCTTACACCATAAAAGTGAATAGGACGAATCGCGGACGAGCTCGAGATAAACAACACATGTTTCCAAAGCCAAACAAAACACCAAAAAAAACAACATGCTGACTAAATCCGCGTAGCGTCTGTTTTAGTGCTTTAGTTGATACACTTTGGTGTAAACGTACTTACTTGCATCTACTTTACCTATTCTATTATTTTACAAAACGTATGCAGCGTGACACCATCAGAACATCGGATGCACGAAACACACACGGAAAATCATCGAAACCCAACAATAAAGGAGAGAAATCATACTACAGTACCTACATGTAATCACTTGGCGAGAGGGAATACACGTCAGTGTGGAAACGATGGATTGACGATGAGGTGCCCCGATCACACTCGCGACAAGTAAGCTTTACTTTTTCTACTATATACTCTCGACAATCAAATGCATGCAAGATAATTGGGGTGACACAAAGCATGACTCGTCGATTCAAAAAGCTGTAAGTAGTTCGATGTCCGGAGTGCGTCTCGACTCCGAAATGGCGATGCTCCACTATAAGGTAGGTACAATTATACGCCATCAGCTGTTTAAAGCCTCGAAGATGATGCATGTACTTATGTTAGGTACTCAAGTGTAAAAAGGGGGGTGGGGGCACAGGGGCCTTCATTCGTGACGTTCCACTCTTGAAAAACGCTGATTGAACAATAAACGTTCAGTACCGCGAATCGAGTGATTTTTTAAATTAAATTCATAAATAACTGTAGGCGCATGCAGATGTTATAACGGAAAATGACGGAAAACATGATTGACAACATGCAGGAGGGAAGGAAAAGTGAAGACGTCGGGAATTCATGAGTAAACGTTGTTGAAAAGAAACGCGGGAGCGCGAGAATTCGAAGGTACCCGTGAAGTACCGTTAATGTTGTTGTGTACAACTGGCACATCGCTCAATTACGTATTATTTACAAAAATTTGAATGTTCAAACAAAACGAGCCGTATAAATTACCACTACCAACTATTACATATTATTGCAAAATGTGTGCTTGCTATTTTTTTTTTTTTTTTTTAATTCACTTGGAGCATAATAAATGCGTAGTATGTGTATTAATAATACATTTGGGGGGGGGGGGAAGGGGGCATAACAAAGTAAGGACAGAAGGAAACAAAGCGTCACCAACTCGAATATAAACACTGGGTGACTCGTATTTACATATATGTACGTATGTATGTATACATTAGATAAACATACAGCGCATAGCAGATAAAAAAAATGTATATGAGATCGCGTGGGTAACATTATTAACGTGCATATACTGTATACGTATACATACAGGGTAAATGCAGCATATTACACGTTCTTTCGCGAAAGTGCAAAGTTTGCAATAGTTTGCATCGTTGACACACATATATATATATATGTGTATATATATATATATAAATATGTAGCAAACTGAAGCAAAGTGGGTGTAAGGTGTAAGCCCTCAAGCCCCCCCTCCCCCAAACAATCCAACACACAGAGCAAGAAAGCAAGAGTCATGTTTTGTTGAGTTGATATTGGAGCAAGCAACCATTGTCAAGAATGAGGGAGAGAGAGAGAGAGAGAGAGAGAGAGGAGAGGAGAGGTAGGGAAACCGTTTTGTTGTGTATTATTAGGTAGTGTATATACATATACGTAGCCAAGAAAACTGCACACATGCACATTGGTGATCCGACCAAGAAGAAATAAATAAACGGGGAGCTATAAGTATAGGTACTGTTGGAGGAGGAGAAAAAGAGACAGAGTATTAGTGAGAAACAGCTGTAAACACGCGCCAGTGCGCCTTGTGCGAGGTGAGTGCGACAAAGACGACGGCGAAAGAGCGGAGAGCGCGAGAGTGTGTGCTCATTCACTCGCATGGGGCAAGCTAGAACGGGACGCGGAGTGGCTGCACGAAGTCATACTGCGCGCGTGCTGAGGAAAGCTGCTTGGCTTTCCCCCTGATGGGCTCGGGGAAAAAGTCTTGAGGAGCGACAGAGAAAGAAAGAGAGCTCTGGTGTGTGTGTGTGTGTACCTATTACTAACTATAGTTGCCGTTGTTGTCCAGCCCGTCGAGGAGCAGGAGAGAAAGAGCATGCTGTCAGTGTACCTATACACTCCCATCCATCAGCTCATCCGTTACAGCAGCATACGTGTATGTATATGTATATGTAACGCAGAGCTAGTGCACCTCCGTAAGCTCCGTTGTCAAAGTATATTAGGTATAGACGACAAGCTCGAATAGACGACGTCGACGACGCCCACGACGAGACCCATCGAGGAGGTCACACGCTGCAGCCACGGCTCTGTGTGTGTGTGTGTGTATGTGTGTGTGGAGAGGTGGATTCGACCAGAGGGGAGAGCACGCGCGTTTCGGAGTCGGAGAGGCTAAGAGTGACAACGTGATGGCCTGGCCTTCGTGAACCCCTCCGTGACTTTTCCGTGTTTTGTGTGTGAATGTACGTGTGTTCGACATCTGTCTTCTTCAAGAGGTTGAAGAGCTGAGTAAATCATTATTATACACTGTGTATATAATTACAAGTCAGTGCGTAAGAAAGAGATAGAGGGAAAAAAAAAACTTTTGGTCGTGATGACTCTTTTTTTTCTCTCTCTCTGCAAGCTGTTTCAGTGACGAGGCGTTAGAATAGAAGCAAAAAAGTCAAGAGTCGACGAAGGCACGACGAAATAAAGCACATACTAGCACAAAGAAGAGAGGCGATTTTTATTTTTATTGTTGGGTACTTTTTCTCTCGCTCCGCATCGGTCTTTATCTTTCTCTCGACTTGAGTTTGCTGCTCTCTCTTTTTCTCTCTCTATCTCTCTCTTTTTCCGAGAGTCTCGGAAGACAAGTGCTTACCAACTCAACAATACACCTAAATGTACATCATATTATTTTGACTTGATATCTTAATTTTTTAATTATTTTTAATCTAAACGATACAAATATTTTCATTTACACAGGAAGGACAAGCTGTGGCTTCGTGATTTGTGACAGTGGGAGGATTGGTGTGAAAAACAACAGTGAACTGAAGAAAAAGAAACACTTTTGCTGAGGTACATATCGTACGATTGTGACAGTGTCAGCTCGGTAGGAAGAGGAACCACTGGTGTGTCGGATCTCCTTCCAGTTCTGGTGGAGATTAGGCTACAGTGGATTCCATCGACAAAACCTACTGCTGCTGCTCTATACCGATCAGCTGCTCTGCCTCCGCCTTCGTGTGTGCGCGTGTGTGAAGACAAACTTGGACGTGTATATTTATATACCTGTGTGCGGAGTTGCTTTGTCTTAGCCCCAACGGACTAGTTCAAGCTTACTTGTCAAACATGTCATCTCCCAGTGCTGGAAAACGACGTATGGACACCGATGTCATTAAACTGTATCCTTTTATTTACTAGTATTTTTTAATTGTTTTGCCTTTTTTTTTTCTCTCAATTTTTTCCCCCCTGTGACAGTGCAAAATGAAGAAAGGTTACTCCGAGCTCTATGCTGTTTTAAAAAAACTAAACTCTAAATTAATGACAATCGCGCGCTCTTCCGTAAAATTACACTCCAGCGTATACTTAATAGAAGAGCAGTAAAAAGAAGTCAGCTAAGCATTAGCACCCATTGCTCGTAATGATAAATTTTCGAGCCGTGCAAATTAAGCATGAACTGGCACGTATTCTAGGAAGAGCATCAAAGTAGCAACCTTGACTGTACGTACCTATATAAAACGTCGTTTTGGTTGCTCGGTACGTTCATTTTTTATTACAATCGCTAATAAACGATGAAGAATAACACCACAACCGAGTCAGTCAGTTACAAACAAGAGCGGAAAATACATTTGCTTGACAATGTTTGTGCGCGCGTTTAGACTATAGCCGCGTAATTATCGTTTCCACGACAATAATATCAAACCACGATTAATCTTTCGATTTTGATCAAGTAGCTTCCAACAGCACGAAAATTATCAGCAACGAAGTGCTACGGCATTTTCGCACGTTATTTGAACACGCGTGTGAAACTGTTCCTTCATGAAAATAAAGCGAAGTCACGTCGAAAAGTGACTAATTATATTGTACTAATGATCACCTTTCGGCGGCGGGCCCGAGCGTTATCAGCTCTCCCGCTCTCTCTCTCTCTCTCTCTCCGATCAGCCTCCGAACGCCTCTCGTTTTGAGACACTAATAAACGGACTTTCTTCCACGTGTATTCAATCCCCTTACACCCCCAAGCTCCACATATCCCAGGTAACAGCATTGAAAATTTGCCGATATTTTAAATAGTTGTGACGCAATCAATTCGCACGCGTTGAAATAACATACGTCTTACTTGTATTTAAATACATACGTGACATTTGCGCCGCAAGGTAGCATTATGTTTATTCTCTGCCTCGTTATGTACTTATAGTCGGAATTTTCAATCTCCTTGTTTGATCGAACGAAACGTCTCATTAAACGTTGCTCGTGGGGGGAGGGGGGGGGGGAAACAAAAAATAACATACACTTCATCTTACAAACAGGGAAGCTTGTAAACTTTTTTTTTTTTCCCTACTATATCATTATGAAAAACGACAATTTGCGAGGGAATTTTTTCCTTCGCATAATTTTATTTAAAGATCATCAAAGCAGGCGAACAAAAAATAACATCAGTGGCACGAGTATAGTACATCAACTCGACACACAATGCCATAGCATAACAAAGCTATATATACATATGTATGTATAAATAAGTGTACGTATATATAAAGAGAGACGCGATGGCGCGTTTATATATCAGCTAGCGCGTAAGTTCCTTTGTCCTAAGCACAGCGACGCTGTTCACCAGCTGATCGACCTTATGTATATACACGCACACTCGTGCATGGCCCCGCTTTTCCTCGTCCCTCTCTCTTCGCGAGTGGGCTTCTCTCCTTATATACCTCGCATATTCGCGCAAGCCCCTTCCGTGCTCTCTCTCTCTCTCTCTCTCTATGCGCCGTCGACGATCGAGCCTATATACAATAGAAATCGTGCGATTCGTGCATGTACACGTGCGCGCGCAAGCGAGCCTTGGAGGAGAGCCATGCACACACACACGGCCACCTCCCTCATCCTCTCCTCCACCTCCTGTTGATGTTGCTGGCCTGCGCTGCTCTCTGCGGCGCGTGCAATGCAAGTCGCGCATCCGCAACCGAGTATCACGTATACGAGTAGGTACATATCCCCCCCCCATGCCTCACCTCGGTCCGCGATAGTACATCACGCATTTATTATTTCCTCGTCACACAAATTTTTGCCCTTTTATGAAGTAGACACACACTTTTTCACCCCGATGCAAGAAGTATAGAGAACAATCAACCTGAATCCAAAGTTAGCTTTTTTCTCCTCCGAAATTGCCATTGTGCGCCACGGTACAAACGAAGGCTCTGTCGCCGATTTGCTAAATTTCCACGGAGACTCGATTATTCATACATTTACTTTGTAACTACAACCAGGTATATAATATATACATGACAACTGTCTTCTAAAACATATACCTACGCCGAAATTAAAGACGGAATGGGTAGGAACGAATTCTTCTTCTTATTGGCTGAACGCACGCGCGCACTTGTCCCGTTTGTGCGATAAATCCTTGATTGGAAGTGTACTTATACACAATGAAAACAACAAACTCATCTATTCGTGTGTACACTTTATACAAGTAGTGGGGTCTCTCTCTTTGCAAAGCAGTAGCTGCAAATAGGTACATACCTATTTTTATACTTATATACGTGTGTGTTTTGTCTCTCGGATTTGTCGTGCGTGAAATTAAAAAAAAAAAAAAAAAAAATTACAAGGATCTTGTTGTAAGGTCATGCACGTGCTGGTGTCACATATATGTATACACAAACATGAATACATTGCATTATACTCGTAAATATGCAAGATCGCGAAGGCATTAAGGTGGGAGTAGAGAATAATGCGCGAAATAATAAGGAAATCAATAATACTTCAACAACTGTCGTTGCGCATTACAAAATTCATTTCATATGCTTGAGTACTCGTTGCCACTCTCGTGTCTATATTCTCGAAAATATACCGCCAATCGAACGTCGGGTACTACGGCAACTACCACACGACGTGTGCGAAAAATAAACAGATCGCTGATGCGTGTGTTTCATCGCTAATCTTTTCTACGAGTACGTCGTAATAAACATATAAGGTGCGCTCGATATAAAACAATCTTTTTTTTGCAAGCTCGCTCGTTTGCGTAATATTTCAAACGTTGCGATTCGAGTTGGGCGCGTTATTTTATTACAAATTAGTCACGAAACGTGATCATCGAGAGATAAATAAATTATCTGTTAACGATAGTTTTTTTTTTTTTGTTTTTTTTTTTTTTTAAGCAACGAGATGCGGAACCTGACAAAGAAATCACAAGCTGTATAATTTAGGGGCACTCTATCTTCATTGGCTGTCGACTCTTCCACAATCTTTATCAAAACTTGATATCATACGTGCTTTTTAGAAAAAAAATTCAATGCAACAATCAGTTATTCTTTGCTGGGAAAAAAAACAAAAAAAAAAAAAAAAAAGAGAAAAAAAATAACCAACGACATGGGGGGAGCTTTTTATTTAAGAAAGTGCATAATATATAGAAAAGAGCATTGTAATAATTATATTTCAAAGTTTGTAGCAAACTTTGGTCCACGGAAATTTCAATTGTAGCGAAGAATAAAAAAATCATACAATTTATTAACTCTTCACAATTCGTGTAGGGAAATAGACACTCTGAGGGAGGCTTTTACATTTTTTTTTATCTGATCTTATAAGTATACCCTAAGTACCAGTGAGTTCATCATATAACTTCGTGATGAGCGTCTCGTATTTATAGTTGCGGTCCCAGATATAAGTTAAATTCTACTGACGACATGCATTAACTTAAAATCCAGATTAAACAGGTAAAAACTCTGACTTTGATATCAAACACTTATAATATCATATTATATACATACATCACGATTATTATTTTTTAATGATTCACTATTTTAATTGTACCTAAAAATATTTCTTACATTATCTTATTGATGACTCGTTCCACCAATACAACGATTTATATTACCACACCGTATAACAATACGTTTCGATATAATCACTCCCTATAAGTAAGTTACAAAAATTGTCACCGTACATACATATTGTGTAATTATTATTATCTAACCTTCCTGTTGAGGCGAATTGCTTATTTTTTTATTGAAATTAAATTGTATACATTTTTATGCGCTTATAATATTCAACTCGCGCGCGCGCGCGCACACCTGTTTTCGTGCGATTTTGAGATCAGGTATAATTCACCTGTACATAATATGAACTCTGAGTAATTTAAAATTCACCGGGAAAGATTACAAGGGAAATAAAGAAATATGATTCGACTCGTTTGTGCGTGTGCACTCTGATGCACATAGATTTATCTTACACGCGTAAACAGTACTTGAATAAGTTGAACTCACTAAGGAGTATAAATTAATGTCCCATTCTCCTATCAACCCCAGCATCGTCAGGTAATTGTCGAGCTCAACCAAAAAGGCTACCGCGAAAAATCGGAGTGTCTTTTTTTTCCCCCCATTTTATTTTTACAGCAACCAATACACGTTTATAAGTGGAGGGACGAAAAGAAAGCTTTGCTTCGAAACAATGATATTCAGACCTTGTTTTCCTTAACTTGTATGCAAAACAATCCAGAATCGAGAGCAAACATGAGGTGACGATACTTGGCGGTCTCAACGAGTTCTCCGTCAAGTTTTACGGACCCCGAGGAAGTGAGTATATCCGACTTTGTGTCTCTACTTATTATCGAAAATAACGAAATAAAACGAGTACTTATCTATAACGTATGCGGGCATCTTTGCGCGCGCGATTGTAAACATCAGGCAAATAAATTGCGGCACAGCCGCGTATTCCACCGGAAACGTCGTTAACCAATCGTTTGTCGGGGGGTTTTTTTTTCCTCTCTCACTTCTATCCGGGAAGGAGAAACAAAACTTTTTTTTTCCGCAGATCGCATGTGCCAAACTTCCGATGGAATCCTTGAGCGATTCAATCTCGCCGAAGGAGCAAATATCGACTTTGACTATCACCTATAATTTTTTCTGGTGAAAGTACATACAGCCACGCAAAAGTTACCCGTACACATTTTAATGCGACTCAAACAAGGAAGATAAACTCGCGTGTCGACTTGATTGGCACGTATCGAGTTTGGGATCTAAAACAAAAATCGAGGGAAAAAGTGACGCGGTGCCTACTCACACACTACATTCGTTACAATGTTTGGCGGGTATGTTGTAGGAGATATTTCACTAAAATCCATTTCGTTGAATGAAAATACGGAGTAATAACTTTGTATATGGTTTAAAAGTCGCTCCATCATTGAAGGTCAAGTGTAGGTGCATCGAAGCAGTATTTCTTTAATTTTTATGTACATATACATATAATTAAGCTGTACTCTAAGCTAGTATTAATGACGCGAAACGATTATTTCCTACTGTAAGAAAAAAAAAAAAAAAAAAAAACGCGTACCCATACGTCGGTAGTGTCAAATGATGCGTGTGCATCTTCCGCACTTCTATACCTACCCAATGCATGCTTGTATATATTGAAATATATAGGATACGCGGTTACGATACGATGTCACTCGCACACGAGCAATTACAAGTAAGCGCGCAATTAAATAAGCTTGCTTTTGCGTGTCAGTATGTATGAACCCACTCGTATCGAATACTATTCTAAAAATGAGTACCCACGCAAGTAATACGGCTCAGAATCTAAAAACGGGGATTTGAGGATAGAAAAAAAAAAAAAAAATAGATCGTGGAGCAGCAGCTAACCCCAAGCGCTTGACCAGTTGACCTAATTTCACTCGGCGCTTGTTGGTACATAATACGCTCTCTCGGTTTATATAGCCTCCCACATCGCGTTCGTGCGCTCGAAAACGAGATGTGTGTGTTGTGGTGCACATCGGAGCAAAGGTAAAGGGGGGAATTAAGAAGGCATGGTCTTGTTTATAATTCCATAGAAGTGAATGCTTTCCCGTATCATGTATCGCGCGTATAGGTATACTAAACCAGCGCTTCGCGGATCCTTTGAGCGTATTATTATTACGTATAAACGAGCGAGGTGTGGAACGGGGCGCAAATATTTCGATTGTTTCGTTGGACGTGATCGATCAACTCTGATGGAGTTAACAAAAATTAACTTTGGTATCCAAAGCACGCGGATACCTCTCACTACGCCTATATTTTGCTCGAATAATCTGTATACCCGAGATCGCGAGGATACGAGTGTTAGATTGGTCGATTGTTTTTTTTTTTTTTTTTCCATCCCCTTGCGAGTCTTTCTTCGACTTTGTGCGCATCCAACCGAGGCCGTGAAAGAGACAAAAGGACTCTTGGTTGGCCTTGGCCCGGGACGTCTCGCCCGTAGTTACGAAAACTAGTGCTATGTATTTTAAGATTAGATAAATACCTTTTAACAATCGGTTTTTAATGAATGGCAATTAAACTCTGCTGGTGATGCAGGAAGATAAGAACGAAAAAGAAAACAAAAATACTTGATTATTCATCGTGTTTTTTTTCTTCTTCTATTTTTGAGGCGTATGTTGACATCAATAACACGTTCGAACTAGGTTTTTTTTTTTTTTTTTTTTTTTTTTTTTTTTTTTTTTTTTTTTTTTTTTTNTGGAATCCTTGAGCGATTCAATCTCGCCGAAGGAGCAAATATCGACTTTGACTATCACCTATAATTTTTTCTGGTGAAAGTACATACAGCCACGCAAAAGTTACCCGTACACATTTTAATGCGACTCAAACAAGGAAGATAAACTCGCGTGTCGACTTGATTGGCACGTATCGAGTTTGGGATCTAAAACAAAAATCGAGGGAAAAAGTGACGCGGTGCCTACTCACACACTACATTCGTTACAATGTTTGGCGGGTATGTTGTAGGAGATATTTCACTAAAATCCATTTCGTTGAATGAAAATACGGAGTAATAACTTTGTATATGGTTTAAAAGTCGCTCCATCATTGAAGGTCAAGTGTAGGTGCATCGAAGCAGTATTTCTTTAATTTTTATGTACATATACATATAATTAAGCTGTACTCTAAGCTAGTATTAATGACGCGAAACGATTATTTCCTACTGTAAGAAAAAAAAAAAAAAAAAAAACCATTCGGCTTCGTCGGACCTTATTGATGTGCAAAACCTGATGTCAATGTTGTGCGATCGTTACGAACAGTTTTGACGTAGCAAAGTACCAATTATACGGAGTCTCGGTGGGTGTGTATTTATCAAAGTCGAAGAAAAATGCAGAGTCGCCGTAGCAAAGTGTATTAGGCGGGTTGCATCGGCGCAAACGAGCTGTTTTTCTTCCGCGGACAGGATACAAGCAATCGAGCTGCGTGGCGTAAATAATGAATAAAAAAAAAAAATGTAATACAACGATAACGTTATTAATGTCGAAGGAAGAGCGCACACTCGGAAGCTCGCGGTAATCGGAGCTCAGTGCCTGTGTGTACATAACGCGTATTTATGTCGTAGCTTTTTTTTCTTTATCGCACCGCTGGATCCGCTTACAAAAAAAAAAAAAAAAAAAAAAAAAAACGCGTACCCATACGTCGGTAGTGTCAAATGATGCGTGTGCATCTTCCGCACTTCTATACACACTTTATATATGTAGTGGGGTCTCTCTCTTTGCAAAGCAGTAGCTGCAAATAGGTACATACCTATTTTTATACTTATATACGTGTGTGTTTTGTCTCTCGGATTTGTCGTGCGTGAAATTAAAAAAAAAAAAAAAAAAAAAAAAAAAAAAAAAAA